AAAAAAAAAAGCACCTCTTGGCCAGAAGGCAATCTTAGGAAAGCATCCATAAAACTTCTAGTTTTAAGCAATACAACTTCCTGATGAGTCCTGTGTAATAAAGTAACTACAAAATGTGTATATATAAAAAAAAATAATAATAATAATTCCTCACAGTCACCAATAATTTTCTTACATTAGTCTAGTATATATTTGTTGCTATGGAGAGAAAATCCTCAGATCATACCTGAATAGTAAGTACTTTTTATGAATATTTTGCAGCAGAGAAAGCTGAAAAAGTATTCTCAAGATTACATTATAAATTGTTGCCCAAAACTAAAGGTATATTTGGATTTACCTTTATTCCTAAATACTTTGTGAATGTGAACATGAAATCAAGAATTATCCAAGTATTTTTAGAATGGGTTTGTGTATTTTAATGACTAATGTTTGTTGAACCCTTATTAGACTGTGGGCAAGACTATATTTCTTATTCAGAAATGTATGCAGTAAGTACCCAACACATTTTTCAAGACCAATGATTTTATATCTGAGACAATTTATCATCTTTTATTTGACCTTTTTAAGTAAACCTTTACAACATCACTAAAGAAACAAAAGTAATCAAGGCATTATTTTTCTGGTTTTCAAAGTGTAGACCCATTTAGGGCCAGAGCAGATTTTTCTTACAGTGCTGTAAGAAATCTGTCATGTAGTAAAAAATCTATCATGTAGTAAAAATGCAGACATTCCTTCATTGTTGTTTTTCATAGTATCTTGTTTGTCCATCCTCTAGGTATCCAGTAGCAACTCAAAAGACAATGTGGGTTAGTTTCATTTTTGTTCAGATAAAGGAAAATAGTTTTGCTATCTCTGCCTTCCTTTTTTTTTTTTTTAAACATTCAGAAATCCAGGGATTAGTATATTTTCAGTAAGCTATTTTCCCCCCCAGTGTGTATGCCTTGAGCCAAAACAAATTTCTGGATGCATACCTTCCCCAATATATTATGATTCCTTAATTGATTTTTGGATATGTGTTTAAGAGGAGGAGATGATTAGTGTATGTCTACACTGTGGATAGCAAGTTCAGTGCAGGCTTTCAGAATCCAACAAAGGGAGGCTTTAGTGGTATTTAGTGAGGGAGTTCTGGGTTAGAGGTTGAAGTGAAGACAAGTTATATAAACCTCAATAAGGAGCAATGATGACCACCACTCTTACTTCACAGATTTGCTAAGAGGATCAAAGAGGTAATGAATATTAAGTATAAGTTAATATATGATGGTTATGAGTTGGGAGTAAGAAATGGATTCAAGACCCACTCTTGCAACTTTTCCTCTGTATAGTCTTGGTAAATTACTGAAACTCTCTGAATCTCAGTTTACTTATCTTTTAAATTAGAGATAATATCATATATGTCATATACTTGTTAGTAATCCATACAAGCTGTTTAATGTAATGCCTGATGCAAAGTTGTAGGAATCATTGTTGAAACCAATAGGATTTTTACTGATATAAAATAAAGTACAATGTAAGTCTATAGTTACAAGTGACTAAAATTTGTTTTAAAAAAACTTGAAATTATATATGTTACACATGTAGCAGTAATATTATTTTGAATACAAATATGTAGATTATTCACTTTTGAGAGCTTTTTATTTTATTTTGTTCAGGAGATACTAGGAAGCATATTAATTGAGATTCTTAACACTTGAGGTCCTCCAGTGAAGACGTTTTTTAAAATGCTATTAGTTTTATTTTTCCCATTTCTTTCATCAATTCCAGCATACGTCTATATCATAAAACTACAGAACCAGCAAATAACTGTTAAGAGTTCAATCATTATCATATACAGATGTCCTAAGAATTTTTTCATTCATTTTAATGATACAGGGGTTTTTTTTGTTTTTGTTTTTGGTTTTTTTTTTTTTGTAGGAAGGGATAGTATGGTGTGGGGGGAAAAAAAGAAAAGGAAGGAGGCTAGGGAAGAGAGCCATGATATAATACCAAAATTAGGCAGATTGGACAAGATTGCATGAAGCTCTGTGCCATCTTTTTGCGTGGCCCAAAAGATTTAATAGCTGATGAGCTCATGCTCCTGTGTCTTCTACTCTTGCTGTCACGATTTTACTAAAATAAAGTATGAAGTCCTTTTTGCATCTGGCGTCTCTTTTGAAGTGATTCTAACTGGTGAGGGATTGCTAACTGAACTGAATGCTCCAAGAAGGCCAATTTACTCAGCTGGCTGCAAAGCCTTTGACCTTAATGGTGGGACTTGGCAAATCAGTGCATACACGTATGTTCAGTGTTCTGTCAAGAATTGCGAAAATGCTCTGTAAGCCATAGATCCTTCTGCAAAATACTTGTTTGTAGTTTAAACATTAGTCTTTCTTCAGAGGCCAATGAGGCTAGTTAATTAAGCCTGAGGGGTTATGAACTGTTGGCAGTTAATAAGTCATAAAATTCCTCCATAAAACAGGATGCGAGATTCCATCACTGAAGCAAAGAGTACAAAGGGCCGGTGTATAAATATCTAATTGTACCAAAGGACTGGGCTTTCTCAATGACTGCTCATCTGGAGTCTCCAGGGCATGTTCGCTGTGGTTTCCTGATTTTTAGAAGCCAGTTTAAAAAATGAGTGCATTAAAGGGTAATTTGCCTGAAAGTTCAGGAAGTAAAGGGGGTGGTGTGGAAGCAAGCTGAAAGGAGAAAGAAGGAGGGACATAGTGAGAAGACAGAAAATGAGAAGGAGGGTGGGGAAAAAAGGGAACTAGAAATAAGAAAAGTTGTCTCCACGCAGAGTTAACATGACTGTATTTGTCATCTGTTTTCTTTTCCCTGTAGGATGTTCACCATGGAAATGGTACACAGCAGGCCTTTTATGCTGACCCCAGCATCCTGTATATTTCACTCCATCGCTATGATGAAGGGAACTTTTTCCCTGGCAGTGGAGCCCCAAATGAGGTTCGGTTTATTTCTTTAGAGCCCCACTTTTATTTTTATCTTTCAGGTAATTGCATTGCATGATTACCCCTAATTTTCTTGTCCTTTTCTGGTGTTTTAAATTACACGAGATTACTGAATTGTCCCATGGGACCAAGAACCAGTGCAGAACAAGTGCATAACCCAGAGCACTGGTTGTCAAGCAAAGTTGGGCTGATTTGACACGTTGTTTGATGTTTATTTCAAGAGCTCACATGTGTTTGTTTTCCTCACTTTTTGCTTTCTTCCCTGCATCCTCCTCTACCCACTGTGTTGTGTTGTTTTTTTTTTTTTCTTCCTAGGTTGGAACAGGCCTTGGAGAAGGATACAATATAAATATTGCCTGGACAGGTGGCCTTGATCCCCCGATGGGAGATATAGAGTACCTTGAAGCATTCAGGTTGGTACTTCTTTTTCTGAAAGTGGCAAATTAGAAATGTCTATTGAAACAACACCAAATGTAAAAGAGAAATATAAGTTTTAAACAAGGGAAAGTGGCTAAAGGAGCCATTCCATTAAAGCTCCAAAAAATGTTTTGTTTAGGGGACCTGGATATAGCTACAAAGCCACATAAAGAATATGTGTAAGAAAAAAGGTACATCAAGACCTAGTTGTAGTTGTACAGGTATATTGGCCAGTGACCCAGGCATGTTACCCCCTCTCTGCAAAAAAGATAAGGAAAAAAGATTTATTAAGTAGTGCTGGAAATTTGTGCCTATTCTAACATATGTTGTGATTTAGAATGGATATTAGCATATTAGATGCTCTGATAAGGCCTTCATTACCTACTTAACTTTGTTGAACAGGCATTTCCCAAACTTCACTAGACTACAGATTCCCTTTTGCACATAGCACCACTCAGCATTCTTGGTTCTGCAGAGCTAGCTTACTTTTGGAATGTTGGCCTAGACAATCTCATTTCGTGGTAGAGTAAATGACTTTTCTCTTGCATAAAATATTTTACGTCTCACATTAAAACATCAACTGATTAATTATGTTTTCAGTTCTCTACAAAATGTAGGCAGTAATTGAAATGTATATTTATATATACATAGTGTATTCTACTTTGTCCTTCTAAACAAAGAACTTTTAAAATTAAGCAAGAAATGCAACGAATCAAAAGCTTTCTTTTTGAATATTGAGGTTTTGTTAAAAAAGTCATTTTTATTCTCTAGAGTTAAAAAAGTATGTTTAGTCCTTGGAAAGGACTGTTTTATGGAGAACTATCAGATTGTGTTAATATGTACCCACTTGCAAGATTTTAGGAGATTTTAACCTATTGGTAATGCGTGATTTCGGGGGTGTTTTGTTTAGTTGAAAGCAAAAACAACTACATAAGAGATCTTAGAAGCATTATTTTTAAATTTATCACTTATAAGTTCCCAAGGGGGGATATTCCATTGCTAATGTATTTGAAACTTAAGGAAATAGTAGGCAAATTTTTCAATAAGTGAAGTTTGGGTGAGTTTCTGCTGTCCTATATATAATGCATTCTTCAATTTTTCATGTGAGAGTCATTTTTCATTTGAAGATAGGCCCAGGAAAAATGACAGAAAATCACTATTTTCAAGAAAATACATTAAAAGTCATCACTATTTTCAAGAAAATACATTAAAAGTAAATATATTTGGTTTTGTTTTAGGATACTAAGGAAAATTGTACACACATTCCAGGTTTTTATTTAAAAAAATACATATATTCAAATATCTATACTATTTATAGAAAAAAATAGCTGAAATAAGTTTATTTGCTTAAAGACTTATGTTTATGAAGATATTTTAGGTTAATTTACAATAAAACTAAAAAATTGCATTAAGAAACTTTAGGAGTTTCATTATTATAAATTCTGTTTACCTAAATTTGCAACTTCAGAAACATTATTAATATCTTAAAGGAACTCTAATGGGATAATAGACTTTAGTATTATATCACATATGAATTCATTTGTTTACCAAGTTAACTTGATAACTTGCATGATACACACATTAAATTCTCAACCTTACTATAACAAATGATTATATACCACTGATCTATAATACCAAATTCTTAGTTTTTTATTATCATAATACTATTTGGGGTACATGGCTTTACTTAAAAATGGATTATGCATACCCAGCAGGGAAGGAGAATTTATATTTTGTACTACTTGTTCTCACATCACAAAGTGAATGATGGGTGGTAAGAATGTTTACAAAGAACCCCTTTGAACACAACAATTTCATTAAATAATTAGATAATGTGAAAACAGATATTAAGTATATGTTACTGTTTTTTGAATGAAATGGTAAGTGAATCAAGTGCTCCTGAAAGTGACTTAATGTCCTCAAGAATGGCACCTTCTCTTTGCCTGAATGTGGACCCTATATTAGCAAACTTTTCTGTAGTTCCCAGTGCAGTCACCATATCTAAGCTTAAATAGAGGAGGCAATATTATTTAGCTAGATTGCAGAAATGTAAAACTGTAGCTTTTAATATTTATAATTATTTAAGAACCAGATTTAAACCATAATAATTGTTAATTTTGAACTATACTGTGTTTGCCATTCAACTTGTATGACTAGAAGTACTTGTGAACTTGTTATAGAGGAATCAAGAAAGTAAGTCATCCATTCAAAAACATTCATAGAAACATATTATATGCCAGGCACAGTGATGAGCCCTTGGAATTTTGAGCTGACTTGCTTTCAAGCATCATAAAAGAAGTGATAACCCACTGTTCTAGAGAATGGATGTGCTTAGACATAAGAGAGGATAAAATTGATGAACTCTTCCTGCAGGGTTTCAGGAAAGGCTTTATCAAGTATTGTTCGACCTGTGCTTTCAAGGATGAGCAGGAGTTTCAAGGGGTAAAGGAATTGGAGTGGGGCGAACTCATAATAGAAAGAGAGAATACTATGAAAAGCATGGAGTCATGAAATGATCTTGCTCTGTTGGCTTAAGAGCATAAGGGTGGGATTGCCTGGCAGGAATAGAGATCATACTCCATAAACTCTTTTGTTGGCAAAGAATCGGAATATATAAAATCCTTTCTAATCTGGGGCTTTAGTGAGATATACTCCAAAATAATTTTTGATGTAGTATTACCTTATAAGCATATACTTAGTAATATAGCCCTTGTTTCCCAGTACTAAAACTGAAGATCTTTTTGGCATCTTTTGTGGGTGCACAATATGGAGATGGAGGAAAAAATTAATGATGCCTTTTCTTTTTTCTTAATTTTTAATTGTTTCTGGACTGTGATAAGTATCTTTGAAGGGAAGGCTTCTCTCTGTAAAGCTATAGGGGGATTTAAGATGGCTGCTTATTTTACCAACCTACATTTGTCACATATATTATTCTTGTGGCTTCTATTATGTATTTCTTCTATAGCAAAAAGAATTTCGCAGGCAAACAAAACGTTTTCGTGTTTGCTGTAAGCTTTAAAGATAATTTAAAAAATTTAATAGAATATCTAAATTAGTTCACATAATTAGTTATTTCTTCCATGTAGTTACTGTTTATCCCTAAAATTATTGAAGGATATATTTAAGACTTTTCATTAGTTTTTAAAATGTTCAATAATGTAAAATATCTTTTATGTGGAACTAAAATGTATTCCAAGGCTACCATTTTATAAAATAATTATGGCTGTTTTGATTGAGGTCTTACATGCCAGGTCCTAGATTAGAAATTTTATTAAAATTATGACTAATTCTTAAGTGGTTTGTATAAGCCACAGAACTTCTAATTGTAAGGACCATGGTGTGAACTCAGTTTATGGCTCTAAAATCTGTCACACCACATTGCTGCTCTTTTCTACTATTCATGACTTAAAAGATTGAAGAGTGATAAAGCACAGTAAACTTTTACCAAAATATAAGACCTTCACCCCCGATCTAAGTCACAAATGTTTAGTACACAGCATGGCAAAGAAGAGCTATTCAGTAATATTGGCTGAATAAATCAAAGAATAAATGAATGAGTCAAAGAGAGAAGGAATGATACTGGCTACAGTAGAAGCATTGGAAACCCCTGGTATTAAGTGAACCTAGCAGAAGTCTGAAACCTAACTATCTCTTGGCCCTTCAAGGAGTATACTTTACAAGGAAAATTGAACACCCATTCATTTGCTTATAATATTGTCAGGTGTCTTCTCTTCCATTCAGTAAATATATTGAATGCCTGCTAAGCACTCTCTGTTTCAATCACTTCAAAATATTGTTTCCAGGGGCACCTGAGTGGCTCAGTCAGTTAAGCATCTGACTCTTGATTTCGGCTCAGGTCATGATCTCAGGGTCCTGAGATGGAGCCCCACATCAGGCTCCATGATGAGTGTGGAGCCTGTTTAAGTTTCTCCCTCCTTCCCTCTCCCTCTACTCCTCCCCCTGCTCACACACACACACTCTCTCTCTCTCTCTCTAAAAAACCATATATATATATATATATATATATATATCAATTATTCTCATCTGTAGTGACTAGATGAGCACTGGTTACACCATATTTTTCTAAAGATTAATTCTTTAAGAGTTCTGCAAATGTTAGAGTGATTATTTATATAAAACCATTTAAATAGTTTGTAGTGGACAGGAGACAATATCTCATGCTTCTAATTAAATCTAATGAGGGCAACATCTCTGAGTGTTTAAAAAAATGAGTAGCAACTTCCAGTGTGGTAAGATACTAGCAGTTCTTGAAATTTGCCTATTTTATCCAACAAATGAATGAATGACAACCCCTTTGTGGCTTTTTAATTTCAAAAATAAAGTACAAGCCCCTTAAATTCAGAAGGTTTTGTTGAAATAATAAATGACTCATTGGGCGCACAATGAGAACTATTTAAAAGAGTGGAATAGGGGCACGTGGGTAGCTCAGTCGTTAAGCAACCACCTTCAGCTCAGGTCATGATCCCAGGGTCCTGGGATCGAGCCCCACATTGGGCTCCCTGCTCGGTGGGAAGCCTGCTTCTCCCTCTTCCACTCCTCCTGCTTGTGTTCCTGCTCTTGCTATCTCTGTCAAATAAGTAAATAAAATCTTCAAAAAAAAAAAAAGAGTGGAAAAAAACTGTTGGTATGAGTTCCTTAGATTCAAACAAGTTGTTATTTAAAAAATAACAACTCTTGGGGCACCTGGGTGTCTCAGTTGGTTAAGTGTCTGCGTTTGGCTTACAGCATAGGTCATGATCCTAGAATCTGGGATTTAGCAGCAGCACTTTGGGGCTCCTTGTTCAGCAGGGAGTCTGCTTCTCCCTCTTCCTCTGCCCCTCCCCCCAGCTCCTGCATGCAAGCGTGTGCGTGCTCTCTCTCTCTCTCTCTCAAATAAATTAATAAAATCTTTAAAAAAATAACAACTCTCCAAGCCAATGTGTTATAGTCTATAGTACCATAATTAATATGTGTTAATGGTGAAGATTTCCAAAAG